ACGATGATCGACGAAAAGAAGGAATACCACGGAACCTAACCTGGAGCCCCATGGGAAGTCACTGACCAGGGTTACCTCTCAGGTCTGCTGGTGCTCGACTTGTACTCTTTGGAACCGTCCAGTCAAAATGTCCTGGATCCATACAAAGGGGATTCGGGTTGGGTATCGGAAAGCGAATGACTTTGCTCGAGGATCTGCATCCACGATTTTTAAACATGTTGTGGTAAGACTCTACAGTCTGTAATTACTCGCAGACGCTTCACTTCCATTCTTGAATAGCGGAGTGATGGTGTAGGACTTTCAATCAGAGCGTAGGCACCCCGAATCAACTGGCGCTTCGAAGAGCAGGGTCAGTGGCTTGGACGTTTCAGAAGATAGCTCCGTCCACACCTTGGCCGGAATTGCATCGGGGCCTGAAATGGTAGATTCTGTCAAGTTTGGAAACTTCTCCTGAGTTATTTTCTAAGTGAAGAGGGCTGTGTCAATAATAGGCATTACTTCGTCTTCCTAAGTGGGGGGGGGTATTCGGTCCTTCATAAGGACAGTCCGGAAGAATCAAAAGAGAGAGAGGTGCTCGGTCTTATCATTGTCCTCCGAGACTTCCGCATCTATTTCCTTGTTAATTAGTAGGTTCGCAGTAGCATTCGTTGCCAAAAACACTTATTCTTATATTTTTTAATTTTTTAATTTCAAGATTTAGCTTTGACTCTTCATTGTGCCATTCAAACAATTTCTTTCTCATATAGGAATCTGAGGTGTCTACAGTTACCCCGCTAAGGGACAACCTCATGACAACCGCTGGTGATCTCAAAGCCAACTTGGAGAGCTTAAAAGCCTCCACTGAAGAGGCCTGGTCAAAACTTCAAGAGGTGAGCTCCAGAGTTTTTTCAGCTGGTCCCATTGCTTGTCCTTTTGGCTGACGCCAGGTCTACTGGCCTCTATCCACGTGAATCACGTCAAAAAGACTATTAAGTTGGAATTTTGAATACATAAAACCCCGCGATTGTTTTAGCTATTTCTTCGCGCGGGGCACATTTTTTACCATGAATACCATGTATCACCTCCATTTCCGCTGGTGGTGATGCCCAAATGGTCAGATCTTGTTATCTAGCTGTTTGGTATACGTTGATTGGCTACCTCAGGCTGTCTCTGAGCAGGACGCCGATTGGTTCGCTGTCTCGTCGAGGTTTCTGCTTTGGCGTGGCGTGGCTTGGTTAGATTGTCAAGTCAAGTCAAGTTTATTAAAGGAAATATAGGCAAACGCCTTTGAACTCCCTTATTTACATAAGATTTAAGAAATGCATCGGCACAGCCGATTGTAGATTCTCCCACTCATTCCCCTTTTGTGTTTGCCCTCTTGTTCCTTGCGAGCTGTAATCGCGGCCTTGGCATGCCTCGCCTGCTGAATACACGCCATCTACTCTGTTTTCTGGTAACTGAATTAATGTTGGCTCGCCATCCTGTTCAGTTGTCCTCTCATTCCCCGGCATGTGCCTAGGTTGCTGCAATAAAGAACCATCCAGCTGACTTTTTCGCCGCCTGAGAGCTCTATTGGCATCGTAATCGAGGAATCCACATTAGAAACAAACCTCTCGATTTTCGAGCTTAAAATCTTTTAAATAACTTGCTAGGTAAGTAATCTATGCGGGAGTGGAACCGCTAAAGACAAGGGAGACCGGAATGACCATTTCTGGCTTTTTAGTCGTCATCAGCTAGTCATGCCCAATCCCAGGAATGGCGACTCCCGAAATTCGAACATTAAGTGCAACACTACTATTGCACACCGAGCCGCCTTCGATACGGAGCAGGCTTCACCATATGTGCCTTGGAGCTCAATCTAGAACCTTGTAAGCTATTGAAACCCGGGCATCCATTTGCTCCGCATCCTGTAGCTTCTTGGGAAAGGCGCCTCTTGTCTTTGAAAGCGTTTTCTGGTTTACGCACTACTTGTTATACATCGCCCTCTCTACGCCCACCCCCTACCTGTGTATGTCTGCATTTTAGATCGAGAAGAGGCTGCTTCTGCTGATCAACCAAAACGACTACGACGTCTCCGAACTGTTTGTCAGCACTGCCAGCAAGGAGAGACCGCGTCGTTCGGACAGCCTCACAGCTAGTAATTCGACTGCCAGTCCCACTGTGCCTGTTGTCACCTCGCCTCAGGTGCCGATCACCGGCAACCTCGTCACGGCGAGTTCTTCCTCCTCCATTCCTGT